GGGGGACGATGAAGGTTTTTGGACCGCTTTTTCCCAAAACCGTTCAAACAAACTTCCAAAAACCTTCCAACAACCTTCCAAACACCTTCCAACATTTTGCGAAACCGCCCAATACGTTCCATAAACCTTCCGGAATCCTTCCAAACAGCACTTCCCAAAAACCGTCCCAAGAACCGACCGCAAACCTTCCAGACACCGTCCAGAAAACATGTTTTTTGGTAAAAAAAACGATTCAACACACTATCCAAAAACCTTCCCGAAAGAAAAGCTTCCAAAAACCTTCGCGACGATAATTGTTGGAAGGTTTGTTTGGCAGGCTCTGGGAATCCTTGGTTTTTAGCGACGAAGGTGTTGGGAAGGATTGGGAAGTTCCGGGAACCCTGGATTCTTCGTGACGAAAGTTATTGGTAGGTTTTTTGTGTTGGAAAAAAGGTTAGTCCGAAAACCTTACAAAGACCTTCCAAAGAACACTTTCCACAAACCTTGAGAGAAAACAAGAAAACCACCTTCAAAACACCTTCAGGGGGACAAAAAAACTTGCCAAACACTTTCCAGCAACAAAAGCCTTCCCCCCAGAAAAAAACATTCCAAACTTTAGCGAAGCCGCCCAATACATTCCAAACACCTTTTGAAAAAACATTCCAAAAAACGTCCAACTAAAAAACCTGACAACAACCTTCCAGGCACCTTCCAATAACCTTCTGACAAAACCGTCCAACAATCTTCCACAAAAACCTTCCACACATCTTCGTCGCGAAAAACCCATGAGGGGCTGGCCAACAACACCTTCCAAAAACCTTCGCGACGAAGGTTGTTGGAAGGTTGTTTGGAAGGCTTATCCGAAAACCTATCATTTCTTCCAAACCGCCCACTACGTTCCAAAAACCTTCTTCGTGACGAAGGATTGTGGAAGGTTTTGTTGGGAAGGTTCCAGGAATCCTGGAGTCTTCGTGACGAAAATGGTTTGAGAGGTTGTCTGAAAGGTTTTTCCCGCAAACCTTCCAAAAAAACACAAACCTTCCCAAAACCTGCCAACAACCTTTCGTACATCGAACACCTACCAGAAACCATCCCCAAACAACCTTCCAAGAGAAAAAACCTTCCAAACAACCTTCCAAAACAGAAAAACCAAAATTTAGGCGAAACCGCTTCAGAAAACCTTCAAACAAAAACCTTCCCAAAAACATCCAACCAAACCTTCTCAACACCTTCCAAAACAGCCTTACAAACAAACTTTCCAAACACCTCCCAACAACCTTCCACATAAAAAACCTTCCAAGAACCCTCGGCACTAAGAATCCGGGAGAGGTTGGCCAAAATACCTTCCCAAAACCTTCGCGACGAAGGTTGTCGGAAGGTTATTTGGAAGGGTCTGAGAATCCTGGACTCTTCGTGGCGACGGTTTTCAGGCTTTTTTGAAAGGTTCCGAGAGCCCTGGATTCTCCGCGACGACGGTGTTCGGAAGGTTTTTTTTGTTTAAGAGGTTTCCCCGAAGGTTCTTCAGAAGGTTTTTCAGGAGGGTTTTCTTGGAAGGTCCTTCAAAAGGTTTTTGGAAGGTTGTTTGGAAGGTCTCTTGGAATGTTATTAGAAGGTTTTGTTCAAGTGTTTGGAGGTTTTTGGAAGGTTTTTTGGGGGGGGAAGGTTGTGTGAAAGGTTTTTGGACGGCTTTTGAACCGTATTGGCTGGTTTCGCTAAATGTTGGAAGGTTGTTTTGGAAGGTGTTTGGAATGCTTTTGGACGATGTGTTGGAAGATGTTTTGGAAAATTGTCTGGAAGGTTGTTTCGAAAATTGTTTGGAAGGTTTTCGGAAGGTTACCGGAAAAACCTTTCCAAACAACCTGTCAAAAACCCCCGTCGCGGAGAATCCAAGATTCCTGGAGCATTCCCAAAAAAAACCTTCTAAAAAAACCCGCCGCGAAGAATCCAAGATTCCCGGGACCTTCCAAACAACCTTCCAAAAAATTGTTGAAGGCTTTCGCAACAACCTTCCCGGGACCTTCCAACATCCTTCCCGCGACTTTCGCCGCGAAGGTTCTGAAGGCTTTTTTTTTGTTAGAAAAGGTCTTGAAGGTTTTTGCAACGTTTTTGGAAGGCTTTTTGGTTGAAAGGTTTTCGGTCGGTTGTTTTGAAGGTTCTATGTTGCTTGAAAGTGTTTGAATTGTCTTTGGAATTTATTGGACGGGTTTGCTGAATGTTGGAAGGTAGTGTGTTATTTCTAAATATTTGTTAGTCTGGAGATTCTTGGAAAGTTTGCGGAAGGTTTCGAGAAGTTTTGGGAAGATTTTAGGACGTTTTTTTGTGTGTGGGGGGGGAAGTTGCTGGAAGGCTTTCGGAGAGAATAAAACAAATATTCCAAAAACCTTCCTCGCATCTCGCCCCCCTTCCCCTGGGAAAACCTTCCAAAAACCTTCCTCACGAAGAACCCAGGATTCTTCGCGACAAAGGTTTTTGGAAGGTTCTTTGGAAGGTCCCAAGAATCCTGGATTCTTGGCGACGAAAAGTGTTTGGGAGGTTTTCCCGGTAACCTTCCAAATTTCACAAAGCCGCCAACTACATTTCAAAAACCTACCCAAAAAACTTCCAACGAACCTACCAAAAACCTTCCGAAAACCTTCAAACAAAAACCTTCCAAAAACCTTCCGAAGACCTTCCACGTACCTTCCCAAAACCTTCGAACAACCTTCCAAAAACCTTCCAAAACCCTTCCAAAAACCTTCAAACCAAAACCTTCCGAAAACCTTCGTGACGAAGAATCCAAGGGGGGATGGCCCAAAAACCTTCCAAAAACCTTCGTGATGAAGGTTTTTGGGAGGTTATGTTTAAAGATTTTGGCAAAAATGTTTTGGCGAAGGTTTTTTGAAGGCTAAAGATTTTTGGGAGGTTCCGGGAATCCTGGACTCTTCGCGGCGAGGGTTTGTGGAAGGTTTTTGGTTGAACGGTTTTTCCGGTAACCTTCCAAATTTCAACAAAACCGCCAACTACATTCCAAAAAGGGAAGGTTTTGGGAAGGATTGAAGGCTTTGGGAAGAAATCGGATCCGCCACTGCTACGACGAACCTTTTGGGAAGGATTGGAAGGCTCCAGGAATCTCGGATTCTTCGTGAGGATTTTTTTTGTTTGCACGTTTTTGGAAAGTTTTTTCCAGACAACCTTCCAAAAACCTCCCAAACTACCTTCGAAAAACCGTCGGAAACCCTTCCAAGAAAACCGTCCAACAACCTTCCAACATTTAGCGGTACCATTCAATACATTCTAAAAACCTTCCAAAAACCTTCAAAAACAAGACGTCAAAAAACCTCTTTCACAAAAAACTATTTTTCTTCAAAAAACCGTCCAAGCACCTTCCGAAAACCGTCCAACAACCTTTCAAACAAATCTGCCAAAAACCTTCCACTAACCTTCCAAAACAAAAACTCCTGGATTCTTCGCGACGAAGATTTTTGGGAGGTTAGGTTGAAGGTTTTTTCCAGAAAAACTGTCAAACATCTTCCAACACCTTTCAAAACAAACAAATATTACAACAACCTTCCAACAACCTTTTAAACAAAAACCTTAGAACAACTTGAGAAAAACAAGAACTCCCCAACACCTTCCAAACAACCTTCCGAAAACCTTCCAACAACCTCCCAAAAACCTTCCAAGCAAGAACCTTCCAAAAACCCTCGTCGCGAAGAATCCACGAGGGGTTGGCCAAAACACCTTCCAAAAAACTTCGCGACGAAGGCGTTGGAAATTGTTTGTGGAAGGTGTCGAGAATCCGGGAGTCTTCTTGACGAAGGTTTTTATAAGGTTGTTTGGAAGGTTCCAGGACTCCTGGATTCTTCGCGACGAGGGTTTTTGAACGGCTTGTTTGGAAGGTATTTTCCAAACACCTTCCAAAAACATTCCGAACAACCTTCCAACAAATTCCAAACAAAACAATACAAAAAACATCAAAAAACCATCAACAAACCTTCCAACAAAAACCTTCCACAATTTAGCGACACTGCCCAATACATTCCAACAACAGTCCAAAAACCTTGCAGCACACCTTCCAAACAACCTTCCGAAAACCGTCCAAAAACCTTCCAACAAAAACCTTCCAAACAACCTTCCGAAAACCTTCCAGCAACCTTCCAAAAAACCTTCCAAAATCCTTCAAGAAACCATACAAAAACCCTCGTCACGAAGAATCCAGGAGGGGTTGGCCGAACTGCCGCACCCAACTGGGGCTTGAGCAAGGTTCAAAAAGCTACGTATCGACAGAGTGTGGTCACAAACACGCTGCATTTTCAACGACGCCCACTGCCTGAAACTATTGGACAACGCAGGACCTGCTTATACATCTGTAGTTTCTGCCAAGCCGCCTTGACGAACTCCAGGTACGGTGCTCGTCGCCGCATGAACTCAATAAGGAGACTGCCGCACCAGCCATGGTTTGGACAGCAGCCCAACGTCGGACAAAACGAAGTGAGTGTCCCTGACCAATTTGCTGATCGACGCCATCGAACGCACATGCAATACTACTGCTGTCCAAACCCTGGTCGATTCGCCCAAGTCGGACTGTCCCTGGTCTTCCAACCAGGCAAGATTTCACAAAAGGAGGTCGTTAACGCCCTGCAGCAGGCGGCGAGTTTGGGCAACTGGAAGCAGCCAAATTGGGACGGATCGAGCGCGCATTCAACAGCCACCATCCGAAGTCAAGATGCAGATTGAAGATGCGAGACCCTTGGACGTTCAACTGTAAACAGTTGCGGCGACCCGGGCTCAACAATTATGATGTAGAGCTATCGATGGGCCGCGCGGGCAAGGAAGCAAGGGTGGTCATGCAAATAGGAGGTCACAACAAAAACTATAACGCCATTCACCGCTCTCCAGGGGCGCAATCCCCTGAACCTATCCCCCCCTGACGTTCCCCTGAGATTCGTCCTCGGGCTTGTTATCAAAAACCTTTGAACATGGCCCTGTGCTGCGACCCTGGCTCGAGACCGTGCCCACCAGCAGAGGAGGCGGGGCCGCACCGCGTCGCCAACGAGAACGCTGTCCGTCTCGGGGTGGTAGCCGAGGGCCGTGATCGGGCAACCCTGGCGAAGGAACTGATGTTACGAGAACATCATGAAGGCCTCGCGCGGCAACTTGAGGCCCTATGGACCTTGGATCCACGCTGGACACGTCGGATTTAAGTTGGAGTCAGGTCGGACTTGCGGCGGGGCATCGCCACGCGAACGCGACCCACACCTTACGAATCGCAAGTGTTGACTGGATGATACGAGTATTGCGCGCCGCTCGATGCCTCCAGGATGTTCCTCACAGATGATGTGCACAGTTGGCGCGGACGACGCCCAAACCTCTCCTCCTCCTCCTCCTCCTCATCATGCTCCTCCATCTCCTCCTCCTCCTCCTCCTCCTCCTCCTCCTCGTCCTCCTCCAACTCCTCCTCCTCCTCCCCCTCCTCCCCCTCCTCCTACTCCTCCCCCTCCTCCTCCTCCTCCACCTCCTCCACGAAGCAAGTTCGACAATTGACTGCTGCTACCAAATCTGTGCCTCTGCAAACCTGTTTCGGGCGCGCCGTCAACAAACAATACCTGGATGGAAACCCGTCCCAAGAGTGGGTTCCAGACCAGGACTGGACTTCAACAGTGTGTTTCGTTTTCGTTTTGTGTTCGTTTCACCTCGTCTTGTCTTGAATTCGCCTTCGCTGCAAAACGACATCGAAACGAAAACGGCCCACGACATCGACAAAACACTGTTTAGGTCCACCCCTGGTCCAGACCTCGGGGGGGGGCGCCTCGCAAAGAAGCACGGCGTCTGCAGTCTTGGAAAATCCAATAGGGGCTGCCGACTGCGAGGATGAACAAAAAACGGATACATATTGCGTTACCGAGGATAAAAATCGGCGATAACTGCGGCCCATTTGTGTAATGTGTAAGGCGTCGGCGCTTGCGGAGGGCTGATTGAAATGTTCGGAGACTCGCAGACTGCCGACGATCCCCCCAGCCGAACCCCCTCATTCTTATCCGCAACCGCTGGGGCTGTAGTATACCGGTATTCCCCGCTCCCTGCCCCGCACAACCAATTCGCTTATACGTTCGAGCATGCACCCCTTGTCTTGTGGATGCCATGACAATGGACACTCTAACAATCCTAGCATTGAATTAAAGCTGTGTTTCAAATGTGTAAAACATGTTCTAAAAATGCTTCAAACATGTTTTTTTGTACATGTTCAAACATGTTTTAAACATCTGTTAGACATCTGAAAATTATTTGGCAACACGCTTCCTCTCCATTATAATCGACTCCCACAAGTCCATCAGCACTCGGCCGTCCTCGGCGGCCTCCAACGCTTTCTGGCGGTCTGCGGCAGTCTTCGGCGGTCCTGTCTCGGCGGTCTCTGGCCGTCTCCGGTGGTCTGCTGCGCGCAGGCTTGCAAGGACATATGGGATACCGATACCGCCGCTCACCCGGGAGAGCCCTCGTCGGCACGGCTGGATTCTCCTCGAAATTCCGGCCAGGATGCACCCTGGGAGATGCCTGGGGAATAGAGGTACCGGTACTTTGTCTGTCCTCCGATTTCAATACAGGATTGCGAGTGGGAATGCAGGGTTGGACAAAAAAAGAGTGTGACGTGTAATGAGCAGGGGCTCGTGAATCATAGCCCCCGCAGACGTGGACAGGAGAGAGAGACTGCTCCGAGCCACCCCCGGATCCCTTCTCTGCGACGTACGCTGTACACTAAGAGAAGATAGCGGCCTACAATATGACGTTCTGCGCGGCCCGACTCCAAACGAGCAGAATGGAAGCTTGCACCTCGTAGAAAAGAACGCTGCCACACATAACGCGAATTGAGTGCAAATAACCGCCACCATTGTCAGGCTCACACTCGGCAATCCAACTTCAAGACAAAGGTGATGATAGGGGGCGAGTCGTTTCTGAGGTTCTGCATTTGGCAGTTCTAGTCTGTGTGCATACCACGCCACACAACAACAAATCCGTCAGGAAGGGCTTCAGTCGCCAAGAAAAGATATTTGCGCAACGACGGTGCACAAGACTCTCTGCGTTCCTTCTCACTTCTGCTGGCTATGCTCGAAAATGTTCCGCGCGAAATCCGTATGATGGCTCACGCGCCCCCATGGTGCACATCACCTGTTGCGGAGAATCGCAGGCACGCCTCAGGGCGGGGGCGCACTGAACTCTGCGAGGGGCCGCCGCGACGGGAGCCCTCCGCTCACCTCGGGAGCCCCTCCGCTCACGCGGGCAGCGTGGCTCTCTACCTCGAGGCTGCCCCCCCGCGTCAGGGCTCGCACGTGGCCCCCCGCGCGTGCTCCCCGGGCTCCGGCTCGGGCGCCCTGGCTGCCCGCAGAACACGCCGCGACGGGTCGGCAGCAGTGCCCGCGGGCACAGACGGGGGGCCCGGGAGCGAGCGCCCGTCCCGAGGGCCGCGCGCGGCACGCCGCGCCCTGCGGGGGGGGCAGCGGCCCCGATCGAACCACGGCGGTCGGGCAGCCTCTCGGCGGCGGGTGCGCACGCTCAAGCCGTGCCCTCCAAGATCAGCAGCTTGACGAGGTCGGCCACGCCCCTCGCCAGCTGGGTATAGTCCGTGTCATCGGCCAGGTCGCAGAAGCGCTCCTCGAACGCCTTCTGATGCTGCGGGCTCTTAAAAGACTCCTTGGCGGGCATCGGGATGTGCATGAAGAAACACGCAGTCAAGGCCGCATCCCCCTGGCGCTCCGCACTCCGCAGCGCCGTCAGGGCCCTCCAGTGAGTCTCGTTGCAGATGTAGCTGTTGCTGGGGCGGGCACGAGGCACCTCCACATCGAAATAGCCCGCGATGCGGCGCCCGCTGAGCCGCTGGACCACCCCGCTCATGCGCTCGTGAGCGCAGACCTGCCCGGCACCCATGTCGATGGTGGGGCCTGCGTCGTGGCCAGCAGCGTCCTTGCCGGCCCTCCCGTTGAAGGCCCCGTCCTCCAGGAGCAGCTTCGAGCGGCTGTCGTACACGCCGAGGCCCAGGTGCACCACTACATCGTAGGCCAAGAGGTCCAGCGTACGCGGAGAAAGAAAAGACGGCGCAAGCGTAAACTTTCGGAGCTCCACGCGCACTTCCTGGATCGGGGCTGGGCCCCCCCTCCCTGACGCGCGGAGCGCGCCAGGGGCGGCGCTGGAGGCGCCACCAAGGGGGCTCAGAGCTGATGCCAGAGATCCGCGTGGACATCCGAATGTTCATGCTCAATTGCTGCATGCCGCTTTGCTGTCTTCATGGTATGGCTGGTGCCCCACGTGGTGGTCATCGTCTGGAACGTGAAATGCACTTCGGGCAGCTCCTGGCGCAGCAGCCGGGGCAACTGCCCGTCGCGGCGCACGGGCGGGGAGGAGCAGGGCATGCCCAGCAGCAGCCGGCAGGACGGGTTGTCCCGGCACCTCCAGAGGTTCGGGCAGTCCCCCAGCTCGCGCCAGTCGTGGAAGCCCGTGCTGGCGGCGCGAGGTCATGGGGAAACCAGAAGGTGCGGCTACCACTGACTCCACAGACCTCTCCCGGGGCGCGTCCTGACCAGAATTCGGGGGGCGAATCCAGCGGTGGCGACGAGGGCCACCCAGGAAGCTCAAACGGAGACAAACGAGGGAAGGCTAGCGGTCTGGGTACCCTCCTCCTCTGAGGTTGAGGGGTGGGGGCGGAGGGCTGCGGCCCTCTCTGGCCATCGCTCGGAGGTCCATTCCGTCTGTTTTTTGTTTTGGTTTCGTGCGTGGTTTTCTCGCAGGATGATCCAGGATGCTCTTCGGTGGTCCTCGCCAATGAAGAAGTGCACACGTCCGAGCGATACCAAGCTCTGTGGGCGAGGGCCGAGGGCGGGGGGGGGGCTGTCTCGGGAGGCGGGGGCCCTTCTCAGGAAGCCGCCTCCCCTCGCCCTGCCCCCCGACCAAAACCCGCTCCGAGTTGATCCCCCACGGACCCCTTCCCGGGTGGGGGGGGTGGGGGCATGTGAAGGGCCCCCGGGACACACAACTGAATACACACAAAAAGCAGGATTCCCCATGTTTTCACATATTTTCTGGGTTTTCGTCTTCCCCCCCACTTCCCATTTTTATACTTTCTGTTGAATCAACGATTCATTGTGTCTGTGTTTTTGTTCCCTCCTGAGAATAAGCCCGCTGCCTCATCCTGCCAGGCCCTCGGCGCAGGTGGTCTGACGAGGTCGTCCTTTCCTCCTCCTCCTCCTCCTCCTCCTCCTCCTCCAACAAAAACGCCCGTTCCCTTCCTGGAGGGGCACCTTCCCCCTTCCCTCCGTAGTGTTTTGGGGGGAGTCCGCGAACGGTCAGGGCGCCCAAGACGGCCTCCAAGATGGCTCAGGATAGCCGACGATGGTTCCAGACAGCTGCCCGTATGCCTCCCACACGCCCCAAGATGGCCACACGTCGGCTCCAAGTGCTCTCAAAGCCTCCTTCCAAGAGCGGCAAAAGAGGGCGCCAATAGGCGATGTGATTGGCTCTTGAGGGGGGGACTCAATTAAAAGATGGTCTCCAAGATAGCCCCAAAAGGCCCTCCATGGATCCCAAGAAGCCCCCAAGCGGCTCCCAAGAGACCTCAACAGGCACCAAACAAGCACAGAGGTCCCCAGGACCGCCAAGAGGACCCCAGAGATGGCCCGAAGGGACCCTCCAGAGCCGCACCATTGCTATCAGAGATCTCTCAAATGCACCCTGGTTTGCCCGCTCTGTTTCACTATGTGTCGCTTCCTCCCGTTTCCCTTCGGCTCTCATCGGTAGCGTTTTTGAACGGGCCGGTGGGAATACGCGAACCGTGACGGATTCTCTCGACAAAACTGTGCTCTTGAGCTCCGCCACTGTATTTTCGTCGTGGTCGCCCCCTGGGCCGCGGAACAATTCATTCTCGCCGTGGTCAGTCGTCGCAGTCGTTCGTTCCCTCCCTGGCCTCCCCCCCGCCCCCGTCCGTGTGGCCCTGGTCAGAGAGCACCCCCTGGCACCCTCCCCCCTCCTGAGCCCTCCCTGCCCCGCCCCCCATTTTCGCTGTGATCGTTTCCCCTGGGAGGACCCGGGGGGGGGGGGACGGACGGCCACGGCGAAAATGAAGAGAGCCCCGCTGCCCAGGGGGGGAGGCCAGGGAATCCAGACGGGGCGGGGTGGGCTGACCAGGCCCAGGAGGGCCCCTGGCCTCTCCGCACCCGTCCCCCCCCCCCTGGCATCCCTGCCCCCCCTCCCCCCCCTTGCAATGGAATCTGCTACTTCCGTCATGGTCGCTCGTGCTCCCCCCTGGTCTCCCCCTGCCCGTGGGCCTGGTCGGGGAACCCCCTCTCTGGTCGCTTTTCCCCCCCTCGTCGCCTCCCTGGCCTCCTTCCCCCCCCCCCCCCCTGGCATTCCTGGGCTCCCCCCCGGGGCCGCGGAAACCCTTCCTTCTCTTGCACAGCTGTGTTCTAGGAGCTCGGAACCTTGTATTTTCGTCGCGGTCGTCGTTCGTTCCCCATCCCCCGGCCCACCCCTGACCCTCGCCCCAATCCCCTGTCGCAATACGATCGTGCGAGAGCCAGGGCACGCGTGACACTCCTCATTCGCGATAACGCATGTGACCTGCCCCGCCCCCACTCCCTGGCCATTTTTCCAACATTATGGGCTGGCCCACTCCCCCTCCCCTCCCCTGCCTTGGACACACCCGTTATCTCCAGGGATAATAAAAAAACTCCATCCTGCCAACTGCCCGAGCCGTGTCCACCGATGGCGACGACAGCCCCCGTCAGCGCCCAAGAAGATCTCAGCAGCGGGAACGACGCCGCCGACGGCGACGAGGACGTCGACGACACCACGCCCAGCGCCCTGTCCACTTCCTGCGCGCCGCAGGCTGTGACCAGCACCCGCAGCGGACTCCGAGCCGTCGGCCCCTCGGCGCCTGAGCGGCGAGGGGAAAAGAAGGGCCATGTCGCACGCGGGCGCGGCGTCCGCATACGCCGCGGCCTGCGTGGGCCGATCTAGCGGAAGACATAACCGTAGAAACATGCATGCTCGGATGCCCGCGCGGATTTGTTGCATCCGGGCTGGATCCCGCCCCTGGCTCCTGGAGCGCATGCCAAGGGCGGCGCCGGCCAGGAGGGCCCCATGACATGGGTGGGCGCGCGGCGCCCAGATATCTTTTACTCTCTCATGCGGTGAGGCGAGGCGTTGCTATCAGGCCAAGGAACCTGCGTAATAAAATTTGACCGAGAGGGCAGCGGGAAACAGGGATGAGAGCAGCAAGAGCAAGGGCAGGGAAGAAGCGGGAATCTCGGCTTCTGCGGGGCCTCTTCTGCCTGACAGGGTCCCTCGGCCCCTCTTGCAAACTGTCGGGGGTAAGATTGGGTCACGCTCCTCCTGGTTGCCGTCTATGGCGTCCAAAACGGTGACCATCTTAACTCACTCACGGCCCCCTTCGGCAAGCTAGCGGGCGCCGGGCGCGGCACCTCCGCTCGGGCAAGTGGGTGCCGAGTGCGGCATCTCCACCTAAGCACAAGCACATGGCCTCGCCGTCTTGAAATCCGGCTGCCCAGGGTATTTCACGGGTGCTGCTACGCGCACCGGCAGCGGCAGAAAGCAAATTCTAGCAAGTTCTTGGCGCTGGCTGCGGACAATGTCGTTCTTACTTCGTAAGAAAACAGATAGTCGGGTGGTCGTCACCACCTGAAGGTAAAACAAAACAAATGCGCTCACTGAATGAAGCTTCCTGGCTGGTGGGTTCCGGGAACGGCAACACCACTCTTGCAACGCGGACTGACGTAATCGGCCACCAGAGACGGCGGTCCGGGCGTAGAAAACCAAAGCAATGGAGCAGAACGGCGGCACAGAGCGGCGGCATGATTCACGGCATCTGCCCAGCAATTGTCACTGGCTCGGGCCCTTCGATCATCTGAATCCATCTGTCCTGGAGGTCCCAGCGCAAACTGTGATGCATCCTCGTGGAATCTGGAGCGCTGGTCATGCGGTTCCCGCGAAGCCACGACCAGTGCTTCTTGCACGTCCTGCAGGTTATGTGCACGGAGCGCGGGTTGTGCCCAACTCGAGTGCTGCGCTGGTTGATGGCGCACTCGTTCCTTTCCGTTGGGCGCAACCGTAGGTGTCTGTACGGTCAACGAGACAACGCTTGCTGATGGTGAGCTGGAAATCGCCACTGGCGTTGATGGTGCACTCGATCCACGCGGCGATGCGGGAGCAGCTGGCGCAGGTGCCCCTGAGCCACTGGTTGAGGATGACGACTGGCTCTCCGCGGCAACAGATGCTGGTGGTGGTACCGTCGGCACATCTCCATCGTCGTCCTCGGGGATCGCGGCTGGCCTGTCGTGGTGACGCCAGCCAAGGTGGTGACCATCCAATCCTGGATGGTGTCTTCTTGCGATATTTGATGTCTTCTCCTCGCTCCTCATGTCGCCGCGTATCCAGGTATCCTGGCGCATCACACATCGTAGCAAATATACTAAATCCGATAAAGCTAGCCACCATCAACGCAATCGCCATAAGATACCACGCGTGCCAGGAATAGCTGTAGCCAGGCGTCGTAGGCGCAGGCGCGGGCCGCCCCCTGACGCGACCAAGGCAGGTCGCAAGTACAGAGGCGAGCATGGTGGCGCGCGGCTGCCACGCCCCCCAAACTGTGTTTCTTGGCACCGGAGAAGGCGAGCAACACTCCCGTCTCCATGATCGTGATGAGTGCATCGGCAACCATCCTCCAAGTGGGGATACATGTGAGCTTCAGATTGATATTGGAAAGCACGGACTCCCTGATCATCGCCACGACGATCTGGAACCACTTGTCGGTGGACTGGCCCACGTCAGACCTGATGCGAAGGGCCAGGAGTTGCTGTCCGCGTAGATCTGCCCAGGGTGTGCCTGGCTGAGGTCGTCGATCTTATGGGGCGCCTCCT